CATAAATCCCATCAAACACCTGTTTGTTCCTCCCCTTCCATGCAACCTAGAATTATTTCCACTTGTTTCCTCCTACCACCAAAACCCTTCCATGCCCAAATTTCATCTCCCACTAAACTTGACATCACCTAGCTGATTCCTAAAAGGCTATATAGATCATAGCCCATAATTTGTAGATCATTGAACACCAAAGCAGAACACGATTACAGGTCTCCTACAGTCTCTTGCAGAATAACAGGCATTCACCAAGATTTTACCCCTTCTAAGCTTATCAATAATTAAAATACACTCCCTGCCAACCTCCCATGCGTGAAAAGAAACTCGAGGTGGAACCCTAGCCTTCCAAATCTGCCTGTACAAGAGAGGATAGTTAATGTCATCATGCTTGAAAGTTATCTATAAAAAACTTAACTGTGAAAGACCCATGCTTAGTATGGCCCCACAGAAGAATGTCATTACTACCATCCAACGTAACATGGGAAAGAGTCCTTAAGTAAACTCTTGTATTCACCAATCTCCCAATCATTCAAATTTCTCTGCACTAAGGCCTGCCATTCTGGTGCTCCTCCTATCTCTACTACTACATCACAAATCTTAACCTCTCTCTGTTCAACAATGGCATAAATCTGAGGAAATTACTCTCTAAGAGGCTCTCCCTCTGTTCAACCACAGGTCCCCCCCAAAGTCTAATCATATCCCCCTTCCCAACCTTCGACCTAATGTTCATCTGGAAGTCACCCCTCCCAAGGCCAATCTTTTTCCAGAGGCCTTTCCCATGTGATCTCAAGCTAGGTCTCTCTCATCCATGCCATATTTTGCTGCAATCACTCTTCTCTAAAGGGCATCGTTTCCAATCAAGAATCTCCAAAACCATTTCCCCTGCAGTGTCTAATTCATTTCCACCAAGGACCACAAACCCAAACCACCAAGGCTAGAGGTTTTTTGACTTCACTCTATGCTACCAAATGATTCTTCCTGCAATCGTCCATATCACCCCAGAGAAACCTGCACTGAATGAACTCTTGCTTTTTGGCCACGTTTATTGGGATGGTTTATAACAACATAAAGTAAATTGGTAGGTTGCTCAAGGTGCTCTTAATGAGTATAAGTCTCCCCCTCACTCCCCTAGAAAGAAGGGCTCTCTTCCACCTGGCCAATCTCTGTTCATATCTCTCTACTACCGATTCCCAAGTTATTATTATTCCCTTTAATGTAAAACTTTCTGAAACATTTATTTCTCTTCATTGGTTCTACATCACTTACCTATGGCAATAGTGTACAAACAGAGGAAGTTTACTTGGAAAAAGAAGAATAAAAGTAGGGGGTTGGAGGAAATTAGAGGTTAAGGTAAATAATTAAATGGAGAAGTAGAGTGAATGGGATAAGTTAGAAAAAAAAATAACTAGAAAAAGGAGTACGAGATAGTAGACAATAAAACAATAGCAAACAAAATCTTGATCCATCATCGTCTATTCTATAACTTAGTAGGCATTAGGACTAAAACCTTATTATTTTGATATATAGCCATTAGTAAGAACTAATAAGGAAAATGTCAAAATAATTAAAGAGAGAATCAACTAACTGGTCAAAATTTAACTAAATATGCTGAGTAGATAAAAAAATAAAAAAATAATGTTGATTATAAAAGAACTTCTTTGTTAGAAAATCTATTTGAAATTAAGATCTTATTTTGCATTACGTAGACTATAAGCCAACAGCATAGATACTATGCACAAAACCAAGCATCATAAACGCAATAATGATCACATTTTACCACTTGGGAGTATCATATCTTTTGACAAGAAGACAACTAATTAAGGAAAAGGATTACCTGGTGAATGGAGAAGTCACTATAACTCTTTAGTTTCTCAATTACTTTGGTAGTGGTACATTCGTAGCCAAATGCCCCTACTGGATGTAGCTTTTTAGCAAACCGTATAACATCATCATCACTGTAAATCCTCCTCACTAATAACGGATGATTTGCAATCTAGAGTAACCACAAAAGAAAATGCAAAATACAATTGGGTTGAGTTTCGTTCAAATTGCAATTCCATATGATAGGAATGGAAAGACAATAAAAATAAAACAAAGATTTGAATGCAAAGATCATTCTAATTCCAAGTCAATTTCATTTGTAATTCAAGTTTAAGTGTTTTAGTAATTCCTTTTTGACGCGTAGGCTACTATTGCGTCATTATATAATCAAAGAAATTAGTAAAATTTGCTTAATTATGCATCAAATATGTAATTATGAGTAAGTTCTATACAATATAATTTAGGTTTATGAATTGAGTAAAAATAAATTAAAGTTGAATTAAACACAAAGTTATAGTATTAAAAAAAATTGTATAAACTTTAGAAAGAAAAGTAGCACCTTTCGAAACTGAACAAAATAGTTTGAAATCTGGCGTCTTGGAAGCACCCTAGAAACATCATTTAAGCTAGTCCCCGAAAGCTTTGCAATTCGAGCATGTGAAGCAGCACGATATTCCTCTATGGCCTCTTTATAAGCATTTTCCTGTTGCTCTTCCATATATACATACTCAACCTGCATTTTAGTAACCTCTTATAACATTATGTAAATAACTTGTGAAAGTGCAAAAAAATTTCAGCAGATAAACAGAAAAAAGGAACCTAACGTACCCGTTGTATTTTTGGAGCAAGCTGTTGCATTACATCAGATTTCAAGCGCCTTAAGATGAATGGTCCCAGAATGGACTTCATGCGACCTACCAGCCCTCCATCTTCCGTATTTAATAACTTCTTCAAGTCCACATCTTCAGTTGCAAAAATATCGGGCATCATGAACTCTAACAATGACCACAGTTCCTGTAGTGATAATCTAATTTAATCACCAATTATTTGAAAATAAATATGTATAACAAATTTATACCTACAGGTCTTAGGATAGCTGGTTACTTCTTATGTACAGAATTTTTTAACAATGAGTCCCCTCCTTTAAAATAAAAAGTGGGAATTATTGATTAAAAGTTGGCAATCCAAAAAGATTTATAACCACCTGCTCCAAGCAAATAAAACTTAACAGAAAAGCTATCCATCTCTCCCCATGGAAGGTGACTGCAATATTGGAAGTCTACTAGGCTAGTCTTACCAAAAATACATAGCACTGTCATATAGAGTGGTTAATGTCATTACCTATCTGGCAAACAATTTATTCTCCATAGATCGAATGATGAAAATTACAAGTCTATTTTACAAATTTTTCACACAGCTGACCCTACCAATTCATTTTCTGGTAAGTGTTACCTCCTTATTCTTTGTTTCCCTCAGACATCTAACTGCATTAAAAAAATCTATTTAACAATCAATTCAAACACTGTATCCAAAAAAAAAGTATCAATTCAAACATAATGAATTGCCAAAAGCCAAACTACCTGCAACAGTACTTTCTTTTAAGAACATGCAAAATATCTATATGTATACATTTATTAATAACTTTTTTTTGAAATATCAAGTGTCACGTATAGTATTAATAATGGTACCAAATGGGTGCCAAACCCATGTACAAAACATTGACATATCAATGAAAGTATTGATAAGGTCCCCCTAACTCTCCCATCAAGTGAGGAGAGTGACCATTTAACAAAAACCAAGAGTTTAGAACCATCTGTTTTTAAGTATGTCAAAACCAACCACATCTTCCACCCTCTCAAAAGCCCTCCTATTCTTTTCATTCCACACAACCCAAAAAATTGTAAGTGGAATTAAATCCAAATGCTTCTTTCTAAACCTAACACCCTTCCAAGGCCCAAATTTCATCTCTCACCATTGCTTATCATCGTTCAACTTATGACAAAAAGCCCAAAAACCATAGTCCAGAGCAAGACATGGCTGCAAGTCTCCTCCGCCCTCTTGCACAAAAAAAACAGGCATTAACCAAAATATTACCTTTTTTCTCAAATTATCAATAGTCAAAATGCAACCCTACTAGCCTCTAAGGCAAAAAATGAAACACAGGAGCAAACCTTAACCTTTCAAATTTGCTGGACCAGGAATCTGGTATTATTTTCATATCTGAACAGGATGCTTGTAGAAAAACTTGACTCTAAAAGAACCATCTTTGGCAAGGCACCAATGATGAATATCATTGCTTCCATCCAAGTATACATGGGATAGAGTGCTTAACAGTCTCTCATAATTTCCAATCTCCCAATCATTCAAGTTTCTCACCACAAACACCTGCCAAACCCTCTCACCTCCCTCCACATTCACAAAAAATCATATATCTTAACATCTTTTTTCTGGGCTATAGCATAGATCTGGGAATACTAATCCTTAAGGCTGCCACCATCCAACCATTGATCCTCCCAGAGTCTCACTCTGTCTCCCCTTCCTACCTTCCAGCTGATACACTCCTGAAACCTTTCTCAACCTTCACCAATTTTTTCCATAGCTCTTCCCATGAGGTCTCATTACTCCTTTGGTACACCATCCACTCTCATCCATGCCAAACTTAGCAGCTAATACCCTTCTCCATAATGCTATATCCCTCTTGCATGAATCTCCACAGCCACTTGCCCTGCATAGCTTTGTTCGTTTCTACCAAAGATCTCAGGCCCAATCCACCATTAAGTAATGGCTTTTTGAACTTATTCCAAGCCACTAAACGATATTTTCCTTTACGTTCTATCTCTGCCAAAAGAAATCAGCATTAAATAGCTTCCAATTTCTTAGCCACCTTATCTGGAATATTTAAATGAGACAAATAACATATGGGTAAATTAGTGAGCATTCTTTTGATGAGTATGAGCCTTCCTCCTTTAGAAAGGGAAGCCCGCTTCAATCCAGCAAGTCTCTATTCAAATTCCACCATTGGATCCTGTTGCTTCGTATCTTTATATTCAGCTCTCAAAGGCAAACCCAAGTATCTGATCGGTAAACTGACAAGTATATGACCCAAAACACTCGCCCAAACTATCTGAATCTCTTGTTGTGCCCAATCTAATCATCTTCGATTTAGCAAGATTGATACTCAGCCCAGAAACCACTTGAAAACCAATCAATACACACCCAATGTTGAGCATTGCTCTCTTGTCTGGCTCACAGAAAAGCATAACATCATATGCAAAAATAAGTGAATAACCTCTTCAAACCTATCCTTCATTCCCACCTTTAAGCCTCTAAATAAGTTACATTCTCTGGTTTTTATCAACATTTTATTCAAAGTCTCCATCACCATAATGAATAATAAAGGGGATAAAGGATCGCCATACCTTATATGAATCAATGTATGTTTGCATATTAGCGATGTTGGACAAAAAAAAAGCTTAAAACAAACTTAAGAAATTTTACTAAGAAGCGAGCTAGGAGATCTCACATCTCAATAATAAAAGCAATATCTTGGAAAAATTATAAATAATCTACATAATAACTAAGATAGGGTATCTTATTTATAGGTACCAAATACAACAAAAATAGAAAATCTAGAAAATATATACAAAAAAGGAAAATAAGTTAAATAGACAAAATTAAAAAATAGGAAATATAGGAATTGGGAAAAAAAATCTTCGTATTTTCCTTTATTGTGGAACTTTCCAAAAGTTGAAAAAGGAAATTAATTTTTCCTATTCTTTGTAGTTAACTTCCCAAAATGTTTATTCTGCCCCATACTCCTATTAAGAAATACGTCCACTTTAGGAGCTTTCTGTTCTGCATCATTCTCTCCCACTTTGTGAAAACTCGACCTCGATTTTTAAATGTCTGAGTAGAAAAAATATCAAATTTGGAACTAGTCTTTTCAATAAATGATGCTTCCATAACTTGAAATTTTAATGACAAAACATGAATGCTTCTAAAATCAAGGACTCTAAAGATGCAAGGAACCAATTAGACATAACAAAATCCATAAAAGGAAACATAACCAAACTTTCCCCATTACCTTTGGAGCCAAAGAATTAATATCTTCAAGGGAAGCTTCTTTCTTCTTAACAAGAACACCGTTGTTTTCAATCTCAAACAACATTATTGCTTACAGCCAAATCGAGGTATCCGTCATTAGAAAACTCAACTTAATCAGCAAGAGTAACAACCACATTCATAATTTCTTCTACTATCTCAAATATCTCATTTGTGTGCTTAGATTCGATATCATTAGTTAATTCTTGATCATTAGGTTGTGGCACTTCCATAAGATTTTGCTTAGACACCAAATCATTCACCTTTACATCCTTTTTTGTTCTTCTTGTTTTATTGAAGTTTGAGATATGAGACTTTTTCTACGCCTTTTTATCTTCATTTCATACATATCAATCTTATTACTTAAATCCTGGAGAATATTTTGATATCTTCCAAAGCAATTGTATAAGGATGAGAATTATTATATTGCCCCTCTGACTTCTCTTCTCTACTTTTTTTTTTTAAAAGTGTAACATGTATCTTTAATTACATGTATCAAGGGGGGCAAAACTCATGCACAAAAAGAATTTTACATATCAGTTAGAATATCAATTAGTTCACCTAGATTCTCTATAGAATACAAATGTTGTTTCATTATCAAAACTCCAAGAGATTGGAACTATCTCTCTCTAATTTTATCAATACACCTACTCCACTCCCTCAAAAACTCTTCTATTCTTTTCCCTCTGGACAATCCAAAAGATAGCCAATGTAATGAGCCCCGAATACTTGGTCCAACTCGTAATATCCTTCCAAGCGCAAATTTCTTCCTTGATGGTGTCTGCCATGACCCAATTGTACCCCAGAATCCCAAAGCCATAGACCATAAGTTGTATGCAATAAGATAACAAAGAAGGATGTGATCACAAGTTTCCTCTGCTCTCTTACATAGACGACAACAACTACCATAATCTTCCCTCTTCTTATTAGCTTATCAATAGTCAAGATGCTTCCACGAGCTACTTCCCAAGCGAAAATGTTATCCTTGGGGGTGAGTTTAGTCTCCAGATTTGTCTAAATGGGAAGTTTCATTCATTTGGCTCTCTCTAGGTCAAATATTTGTAAAAAGACCCCATGGTGAATTGTCCCTTTGAACTTGAATCCAAAGAGGTTGGTCCTGATCTCTACTAAGCAAAATTGAAGTCAAAACGCTCAGTAGCGATTCATATTCGTCTATCTCCCAATCATTAAGATTTCACAATACTTCGACATATGACTCCCTCCTGCCCTCTCCTTTGACAAACCCCTCTTTGACAAAAATGTCCTATCATGCTATAACGAAAATATGTGGGAACCTCGCTCTCATAGCCCTTCCACCAAGCCAAATATCGAACCAAAAGCTAACTCTCTCCCCATCTCCCATTTTGCTCTAAAGACACTCTTGAAATTTCTCCTTCCCTATGCAAATTCTCTTCCACAGCCTTGTCCCATATGGTCTTCTCGATATATGGAATACCTCCCTCTATTCATAGTGTCAAACTTCACATTGATAATTCTCCTCCATAAGATTCACCTTTCCTTCAAAAATCATCAAATCCACTTTTCTTGAAGAGCCTGATTCATCTCAGCGACGGATCTCACTCCTAATTCGCCTCAATTAGTGGTCTTTTAAGGTGTCCCAAGCCACCAAATGATATTTCATTTTTTCTTGCAAATCACCCCATAGAAATTTGCTCTATATTATTTCCAACTTCTTGGCAACGCTATTCAAAATTGATAGAAGGAACAGGTATTATATAGGAAGATTGATCATTGTATTTCTGATGAGTGTTAAACAACCACCTTCGGACAGTAAATTTCTTTTTCACCTGCAAGTCTTCTCTCAAATTTGGCAACAACAAGCTCTCATGTCCTCATATCTTTATAGTTAACACCCAACAACATACACAAATATTTGATCGGTAGATTCACAATTCTGGAGCCCAAAGTTCTTGCTAGTCTTCTAGTATTGCTCCCACTTCTTAATCTAACCAACTTAGACTTCACAAGGTTGATATTCAGGCCGGACACAGCTTGAAGTCGTCTATACAACTTCTCTTCTTTTGTAAGTGGAGCACTTGTTTCACTATTTTAGGTATAAGAAAATAATATTGGATTTCCATTTGATAACATCTATCTTATAAGTAATATCCTTGGATAGAATCTTGAGCATAAATAGCATCTTCATAAAGATCATATGTCAATGAGAACTTGCAACTTTGAAGAATGTCAAATGACTTTAATTTTCTCCATATATCCATATTGACCAAAAGTTTTGCATGAAGCACATGTAAATCATTGTTTGTAATTGAACCACATGCTTGATAGAATGTAACTAAAAGAACTCATTTCCATTTGATAACATCTATCATATAAGTAATATCCTTGGAGAGTCTCGAGCATAAATAGCATCTTCATAAAGATCATAGGTCAATAAGAGCTTGCAACTTTGAAGAATGTCAATTGACTTTAATTTTCTCCATATATCCATATTAACCAAAAGTTCTGCATGAAGCATATGTAAATCATTGCTTGTAATTGAACCACATGCTTGATAGAACGTAAATAAAAGAATTTTGCTCATGTTTTAAACCCATCCAATGTTCCTCTGACACCCGATATACTTTGTCCAATATCAACTTGCAAAAGTGAATAAAGAACAAAAACTTGGGCTAATTAACCTCAAAAACTGAAAGAGCGCGTCTAAGAACCTTAAGAATCATTTTGAAAGTTACTAAAAACAGGTTTGAAGGTGGCTGCCCAAGATAAGGTGAACTGTATCGGGTCAAACCGATTTGAAACGGTAAATAATGTTAGAAAACCAAATGCCAATCACATTGTTCAACGTGTAGCTGTCACGACCTCCAACAAGCCTCCAGCAACGATTTCAACATGTAGCTGTCATGACCTCCGACGAGCCTCCAGCAACGATCTGCTAGCGGAGGATTCGTATTGAGGTAGTGGTGTCAAGTTTGGTGTCAGTGTTACTCCCAAAGGTCACGGCGGCAAGAGTTTTCAAGTGTGTCGCAGCAATACAGTTACTTTTTGCCAGCCAGAAGGATAGTTGACGAGTTTCCGCAGAAGTGATTTGGGATTTCTCCAATTAGGGTCTTCTGAGCTAGTGTTGGAGGCAGTGGCCAGCGAAAAAGCTGACCTGCTTTTCAGATTTAGGATTTTTTTTATTGTTTTATGAAGAAAAAGAAGATAGGGTGTATATGGATGAACCAAAGGGTCTATTTGGGAACTGAACTGCTGAGCACTTAGGAAAACATAATTAGAAGAATTTAAGCTCTGATACTATCTAATGAAGGACAAAAAGAGCTTAAAACAAACCTTATGAATTTTGAATAAGAAACAAACTAGGAGATCTCGGATCTTAATAATCATAAATAGTTCACTTAATAAATAAGCTACGATACCTCATCTATAAGTACTTAAGTACAACAAAAATAGAAAGTCTACAAAACCTAGAAAAATAGGACAAATAGGGAATCTAGAAAATAAGAAGACAATTCTTCGTATTTTTCTTTTATTGTAAAACTTTCCAAAACTTAGAAAAGAAATTAAATCTTCTTATTCTTTTCAGTTAACTTGCCAAAACATTTATGTTTCTTTATTGGTTTTACTTCACATCTCCTATTATTAAAATATGTTCATTTTAGGATATTCATATTCTGTATCAATTAGTGCAATTCCAAACAGTGTCAATTCAACGATCATCCAGATTACTAGCTGAACTAGAAAGCATCAATAGAAACAAAGATCGTAATAATCATTAAATAGGAAAAAGACAGAAAGAAAAGAACAGGCAAATAATACATGTAAATCATTTTGGAGCGGTGTTCCTGTGAGCATTAGGCGCTGGTTTGCATTCCTAGCAACAGACATTAGATTTTTCCACCTATAGCTATTTTTATCCTTCAAAGCATGGGCCTCATCCATCAAGACACAGCTCCAACGCCAGCGTTTCAGTATTTTACGATCATCTTTCTGCTGCACACTGAAGGGCAATAATGATGAATACTAAGCTTAAAAGGCAAGCATAGCAGATCAATCCAATAAAAAATGTTGATACCTATGCCTTTCAAAAAGTGAATAGCAAACAAGAAGCACGTTAAATGGCGGTGGCAATCCAGCTTTGGCCAGAGAACTCAACTCTTTTGCATAGGCCGCTCGACCAGCCCCATGATACTGGAGAATGGAAAATGATGGACACCACTTTTTAAGTTCTCTTTCCCAGTTTTCCAATAGAGAGGCAGGACATACAATTAAATGAGGACCAAGATCGTTGTTCAAATGTTTCAACAATGTTAAGTATGTAATAGCCTGTTAAATAAAAGCAGCATCAGTAAGGCTACAACATCAAAAATCAGATCAATAACAATATGACAAAGAAATAAAGCCTAATACCTGAATAGTCTTCCCAAGGCCCATCTCATCTGCCAGAATGGCTGCATGAAACAAAAATGTTAGCAAGCAAACAAATCATACATTCTTATATCAAAATCATAACAACAAATACCCAAGACCAAAACTGTTACCCTAAGCCGAATATACCTCAGAGACACGTAAAATCAGGACAAATTATTATTATGCCCAACAACCTTATGAATGGCATAGATCCTCAAGCACAACATAGATTTAGATCGCAGTATTTACTAGGCGTCTCTACCTTCCAGATTTAGATCACAGTATTTACTAGGCGTCTCTACCTTCCAGATTTAGATCGCAGTATTTACTAGGCGTCTCTACCTTCCCTTTTTAAGTGGTTTTAGATTTTCGACATGCAGTTAGGCATTGCCAAGTGCATTGGATCTGAATAAACTTAGGAGTTTCTTAGGCTAAGTTAGAAACAAATGTTTGCCTTTCAGCTCGGTCCTGATGGCAAACTTTTCAAAAATGCGAGATTTAGAAAGTGACCCAATCAATTGATCAGAGGAGCTTGATTCAGTGGAATTTTTCTCATCCATACTAAAGGTTGTTCCCAAGGTTTCTCCCTTCTATCTAATTCTACTTTCATATTTAGGCCACAATAGCTAGGAAATTACAGAACCTATAATTGCAACTTTGAGAAATGGATCTGAATGTTTCAGCTCCCAATAATTCTCAGCATAGTATTTATCCCCAAAGAAAATAACCTTTTTAGAAGATACAATACATCTGAGAGTTGCTCCTCGTTCACTGCAGGACATTTATGATGATCAACCATCAATTCCCACCACAATCTACTACCATCGGTCCTCCAAAGACAATCTCTATCCATAGCAGACTGCCATTACCACTCTTCAACTAAGCTCTATAACAACTCATACATGAACCAGAAATATGAACTTAAGTGCAAAGCCAATTCCAGCACATTTTGTAGTCAAAGTCAACTCACCTACAGCACAGTGCCAGATTCCTCCCATCTTTTCAATCCCTCAACCAAAGATAGTATACAGTATAGAGAAATCAAATAGGAAAGTTAGAAAACACCCCTTCAAGAAAGCAAATGAATGAAACATAATTTCAAGGAGAAGGTTTCATTTTGTTAGTCTAAATGTATCCTTGTCGTCATGTTTGCGGATGCATGTTATAGATCACAATCCTGCTGCTCAAATTCCATATTACTTCTAACAACATCCCAACTGCCTGCCCAGCCCTCCCCAAAACCCACTCTCCCCCCGAAAAAAAAAAAAAAAAAAGAAAAGACGTGTTTTTTTCTGTGCTTCAACAATGAAATGGAGAACAATATTAGGTTTTACACCTTTACCATGTTAAACAAGCATACAATATGTGATCTTACATGTATCGGACAAATAATAATCTACTGCTTCTCACGACTGAGGAAGTACCATTGCATTTACCCTTATTTACACCTGTAGCCTAGTGCTTTCACTTTAACAAAAGATTATAGGAACAACAAACAAAAACTAGCTCAGATGCAAGCATTGAGAAACTAGAACAATAGCTATTTGAAAAGTCAGGTAACTTTTGTAGCCAATTTATTTTTTATCTCTGAACTAACAAGCACAAAGAACTACACTTGTTCGGTATCTTAGAAGCAATCAGTCATAGAGTAATAGAACAGAATTCAAGAATGGAATGCATGAAATGATGACCTCAGAGAATAAATAGTTACCTCCACCAATGCCCTTCCTGTACAGCAGAAGAAGAAAATTGACACCAACCAGCTGGTATGGCTTGAGAAGGGGTTGAAAATCAGAATCGTCTTCCCTGCATGCTGAATTAATATCATCCTGCAGACATTTTTGTCATTTATGCCAAACTATCAGGAAGATAAAAACTTCGCTAGTCTCGCTGTTGATTAATTAGCCAAAGTGAAGAAATGATAGTGATTGAACCACAGATCCAATATATTTTCAATTCTATGGGAGTCAAAACACACATTTTGAAAGAGACTGGAAACGGAAAAGTGCATGAAGCATGGCCAATCCAACCTCTTCACATATTTCTGCGAAATATTGACTCTTCAGAATGATTAGCTAAAACCTTTTAATAAAAAACACAAATGCCATTATTTTCCCAATATTTAAAAGAAAATAAGGGCGAAAGAAAAGACCTTTACTCATGGACATTTTTTATCCCAGAAATCTCTTCATTGAAAGACCACATCATCATGGAATTTCGGTCCAATTATCAAAGAATAGAGAAGCAAAAAATGATATATCCTAAATGTGATGCCACCTTATAGCAAATTTTCAATCCATCACTTATTACATAAAGTGGCCAATTAAAACAGCACAACAGTACAAAAAAAATCCAAAAGTTTACGCTACTATCTTAAAGTTTTAGCTTTTTCATTATAAGCTTAAATAGCACCAAAATCCAAAGGGTAAATAGTGAAATTAGATTTAAAAAGTTAGGTCGCCATGTTTTCTTCCCAACAGAAGACATTCCAAAAAAACAAGTACGTAGAATTTTGTTCAAATTCCACTTACATGAAATAGGAACTGAAAACAAAGTACAAATGAAGTTGATATTTGAAACTGAAAAAAATAATATTCTAATACTAAGTCAATCCAGTATCCAAATAAAAGTCCAAGTTATGTCGATTTTCCTGATCAACTTCCTAAGTAGTTGAGAATAAAATTTCATGGTTGTGGAATTGAACATGTGAATAGAGTTAAATTCAATTATATATCAAATACGTAAATTACAACTGATGTCTATATCGAATAATCAAAAACTAGGAATTAGATGGGAATTAAACTTTGAATTAATCATAACATTAAAAGTTTAACCAACCATTGCTACCGAGGAGACAGAAAAATCCAGAAATATCAACTGTTACTACAAAAACTTCAATTTTGAAGTCTTAAAAACTTATCTCAGCTGAAAAAGAATCTCGTTACATTTCTGGAAACGTTTCAATCGTTTGATTTGCAATCCCAGGTACCAAAGCTTTCAATAATTTAGCTAACTTCAAGTAATTCCACACACTTACAACATCAAGCAGTATTCTCAATAACATAAAGAAACAAAATCATAATGCAAAAAGAAAGAGTCAAAAAAAGAAAATAAACTTTAGTAACCTGAGTGACAATCCTCACTGAAGAAGAGTCTACTTCCGCGTATCTCTCGCATGAAGCCACAGAAGAACCATAAAGCTCCCTCCGAAGGTCAGCCGAGATCTTCGCGCACTTCTGAAGGGCCTTTCCGACCACGTCTTCGTCGTCAAGTTCTTCCTCGTCTTCGCTGGATTTAACCTCATACACCTGGGCATCACCACCAAACGCCCTGCCGCTGGCATCCTCATTGTCATCTTCGTCTTCCACCACAAATCGACGGCCACGATTAGCTCTCACCTCCTCCACCCCTTCATCTTCCAGCACCGCGTCATCGTCCTCCAAGTCGGTATTTTCCAAATTTTGAATTTCAAAGCAATCGTCGCTGCTGCTTTCTTCTCGTTTCTGTGATTTCGTGAAAGCGAACGTTTCGATTGGAGGAGGTTTAGGTGTCTCCGCTTGCTGCGTTCTCTTGAAGACGCGAGAAGGACTGAAGGAGTAACGTGACCACTCTTCCTCGGAGATTTCGTCGAAATCTCGCTTCATTATTAGGCTTTTTTTCATTACACTACATCAATTTATGGGTTTGCCTGAATTTCTCAGCGTTGGGGTTTATTTGCGAAAACAATACCAGAAAGACAGAGAGAGAGGAGAAAATCCGTATGGACGACTTAAGGAGAAGAGAAAGGATGAAGGAGGTGTAGTCTCAGTTTTACAAAGCAGAGAAGCGAAGAGGCGCCATTTCACTACTTGAGGAATCGAAAGTCGGAGACTGCGTGAGCGGGGAGCTAACTGAGAAAAAGGCGGTACAACCAAATGCCAGGCGCGCACGGAGATCCTTTTTGTTTGTGTCTTGAATGTTGTTTCTGGAAAATATATATATGTCTTTTAGCGTTATTTTAATTTTCATTACCAAAATCAAACATACATTTTTGTTTTTTTAAATCAAAATTGAATTCAAATATTTTTGTTCTTTATTAATTAATTTAAATAAAGCTTATATTTTGCTTTAAGCCAAAAAACAAGAGTGAGCCCAAAATTAAATTCTAATGTTAGTCTGATTCTCAGCCCAAGTGTCTTGTCAAAAAAAAAAAAAAAGTCCAAACTTTAAAATCCAATTGCACCAAACCAAAGTTTCAGCTGAGCCCAAAATTAAACCAAACAAGAGAAGGAGCTCGCTCCATTTAATTCTCTGTGCTAAACTGAGACTAATAGTTATTTTGACTGATTTAATTCCATTGTAAGAATACGTTGCGATGTATTTTCCTTTTTTTTTTTTTTTTTTTTGTTTAACTTATCCTATGATTTGAATATGCTTTGATGAAGTTTTGTTCGTCTTTAAAGTTTCACTCTTTGATTTAAAGTAATATGGACATCAAATAAAATGATTTTAGGACTGTGTTTTAAGAAAAGATTGTTCTTCAAAAACTAATTTAACTTATTAAAAAATGTTGAATCTTAGTCAATTGAATGATATTTGGAAATAATCTAACATTTAGTTAGACCGACAAACAAATTTTTTCTTAACTAGATTGTGAATAAAGAATTATAATGTTGACAATAGTGCGATGATCATTTGCTTGATAATTTTGAAAGACGCTGTATTTTACGTTGATTATTATTATATGATTACTTTTTAATTGTAAAGTTACCAATCACAAATTTCATTAAAATTAATATTCTTTTTTTTTTTTTGAAGATTTGCCCGAAGATATGGAGAGTCGAAGTCCTACAAGGCCATGTGCTTCTTAACTTTGTGATAAAAGGATCGGTATAATAATTAAATGTCTAAACTCAATTTCAATACCAACTAAATTTCCATGCCTTGCTCACCACTAAGTCCAACTTTTCAAAATGTTAGCGGTTGTATGTTGTAGATGAGAAATATGAATAGTGTTTTTTTAATGTTCATTTATTCTGAAATGTACATGCATATGTGATAATTATGAATAGCATGTTCGTAAAAAGACAAAATTAGAGCTCAATTTAGTTCAAATCTCAAATCAAACAATACTTTTCAATGACAATAATTGAGTTTTAGATTCAACCCACTAGCTAGTTCAAAATTGAAATCGACTCATTAGCCACCTCTACCTTATAGATGATCTTACAGAAAAGAGGTAAAATATACTTTTGGGAATTTGCCCCAGTAATCATGAGGCCGTGAGTAACAGAATCTTTGAAAAGTTTTTACATATATATAGACATACATACATATATATACATATACATATACATATATATAGGTATAATGATATTGGTAATTAAGCTGCACCCATCTCAAGCAGGTTAAACTTTGAGCAGAATTTGGCTTAACAGATAGAAAATGCATGTAGGAGACTAAGAAGTTAATTATACAAGGAAAATTTTCAGCGGTACAAAAAGCCTTTATAAGTTGGACTCCAGTAGTCTGATCCTGCGTTCTCACGGTAAATTTGAGGTGTACATGATAGAGGAACCAAACAAAGACCTCTGCTTCTCAGATCAAGCTTCATCTCTCCCTTATCTTTTCTATCCAACGCTCCCCATGGATCCTGCAAATATTTCATTAAAATAACCAATAAATTAAATATTCATTACGATTTATTAATTATGCGTGTTTTGGAGCATCTTATAATTACTCGTTAATTATATAATTAATACCTTGTGTGAACTAGACTTCATGTAAGGGTTGCTTAAAAGCTGCAAAAGAACAAAGGAATAGAAAAGTTCAGTAGTTGTGACAATCCTTGAGAATAAGCCAGCTGTAGCTCTGGTATTTCTGAAGGCAGAGACATGTACATATATGTGTGTGTGTGTGTGTGTATGTATGTGCACACACCTGAACTTGCTCTTGTAGAAACTTGATATATCCAATGGCTTCTAGCAGTACTGAAGCAGTATCGGTCTGGAATTAATTGAACCCAGAAATTTTATTAGAAATAACTGAATATATATATATATATATATATATATATATATATATGTATAAGAGTGAGAAATTTAGAGGCTATTCTTGGTAGGTTCATTTATAGTTACCTTTCCGAAAGGTGAAACTATTTGCTGAAGGGCAGTGATTCTATCACCGAGCTTCACTTTTGGGGCCTGAAATTTTTTAAGTTCATGGGTAAATGCTCTCCACAAAGGCATATATAAGCATGAATATTCTGTTTTTACCTTTTTAACTTTTTTTAATATATATATATATATGTATATATCTATAAACACATATTTACCTTGACGGATGAATTAACTGTAGAGTTTTCATGCTTGGGTTTTTTCAATGCTGCATCAGAAGTTTCTTCAGATCTCTTCTTTTTCCCTTCATTTGTGAGAACTCCACCTTGCATTCTCCCATTAGCTTTTGTCTGCATATATTATGATTGTTATTTAGACTAGTGTCACCTTAGAATTCAATAATCTAATCATAATGGTTTCACAACAAACTAAATATCTGTATATACATATATTATACTAAAACTTTTTTGTGTTTAATTATATGACTAATACTCACTCTAACTATTTATACTTCTTAAATGAGCAAAAAGTTCATCATAAATAAGCTTTAGCATCTAATTAACTTTACTTCCAAAGAAGAAATTAAAATATCTAGTCTATGATAAGAACTAAAAGTTAATAATTTACAAGGTTCAAATTAAAGAGTTACTAATTCTTTTAATGGAGTCGAAGACTTGAGTTCGAATTCTAAATCCAGACTCTCTGTGAAAGAAAAGAATCGGAGATTGATGAAATTAACTACATAAATTTAGTCGAGCTTACCGGAGTAGTAGTAGGCAGGGCTTGCTTCTTAGAATCGGATAAATGGAGAGGCTTAGTGCATGGTCTGGATGCATGAGCATCAATTAATGGCTTGGTTAAACGACTAGGAAAATGTAGGGGTGAATCTGCAATTGTACTTGTAGTACTTAGACACGGCAGTGCATATTGAGACATAACATAGTTGTCTACACCTTCTACCACCACTGAATTATTATTACTGTTCACACCAATATGATATCCAATATTTCCATACCCGCCAATCGAAGACGAAGATCTTCTGTTTAAATAAGCAGTTGTGGGTGCTTGATCAATATTATTTATGATGTGATTATGATCTTGATTATTTTCCACTTTCAAATGATGAGGAGCATAAGACAACAAAAGATTCGAACCAGTGGACGGGCTGATTAGTGATTGTTTAAGTTGAGAGTAGTGATTGTTTGAAGAGTTAGAGAATTTATTAGTAGCCAGAGAAATGTTGCAGGAGGTCGTGTGAGGATCAAAGTGGGTGGTGGTGTTGATTTCTTCTGGGTCTGGTGGTGCAATAGACCAGTTGCTAACCAGGTTGGAGAGTTTGGTAAACCTAATTTGATCAGTTTGATTTGGGTGATCAAAGTTTGAGAATTCCCAATTGCTTCCCACTTTCTTTAAGTAGTCATATGGAGCTTCCAGAATCCCTGTTGATACGCTCTTGGATGATAATGGATCAACCAGGTTCTCCCCAACATCTTGATTGTTGCCCAATTCTCCATTACTCCCACCATGTCTGCAGATTTAATATTGTTACTCAATAAAAAACCAAATAAAATATTATTATCAGATTAATCATCAAATCCTAATTACCGACCTACCTAGATACCAATTTAATGGTGGATCTATTATATATTAGTAGATATAACATAGTGATCGCCTTCGTGTGTGTATGTACATGTGTATGCATGCATACACATATAGAATAAACTAACTATATAGGCGCCCTTCTGATTAACTAAAGCTTCGCCTCCTGCAGATGTGTGTATGCGATTGTGATCTACAAATTATTTTGGGGACGCAAATCCTTTTATTTTGATCTCTCTTCGTTCTATTCAAATTGATCATATATCTTTTTACATAAAATAAGATATACGTATAGCATATATGTGATATGTATATACATATATTCATGAATAAAACAAAGAACAACTAAATTGTATTTAAGGCCTACTTTTCCTAAGACTCATATAAATATGAAATCACAAGATCACTGATCAAGAACGAGCTGCAAACAAAACTGAAGACAATAGATTAACTCCTGGAAACAAAAGAACACCAGGGGTATGTGTAGTTCTTATTTAATTTATGTGTTCTATAGGTGCGTATATGTTTATTTATACTCACCAACATATCTCTAGGTATAATTAAATTGGCTATATATTAAGTTATAAAAATCTGCAGCTGCCTAGTCTTTCATATATAAATTTGTACGTTTCTTCAATGTTTTCTTTTAATTTTTGTTTCCAAGAATAGCTGGAAAGATAAGAAATGAAAATGAAAATTAGAAAAAACCAACCAAAAAAAAAAAACTATTATCCAAAGAATAGGAAATAATGATGTGTAGCTGGCCAGCTCTAGAATACTTTTTTTTTTTTTTCTTTCTTCCTAAGCAGATTCTTAAACATGCATCAAAAACTACATGCAATCATGCATATCATTAAAGAAGGTACCATCTTTATTAAATCTTATCTCATCTAGTCGCTCAGAATAATTATATAAGAAGAAGAAGAAAGACTTACAATAAAAGATGGGTCCAGAGATGATTATCAGAAGCTGCATGTTGGTGTTCAGGCATGAAGTCGTTAGAAGAAGCAGACTCAAGGAGTGGGCGAGAGGAGTCGACGGTGAGTCCAGAGTGATTGGAGGCATTAGTAAACGAGGTGGAAATGGAGACATCATCCTCACAAGAAGAGTTATTAGAATTAGGGTTTTGTTGTTGGTGCCAGCAGGCGGTAGTCCAGGAGGCGGCATGATTGTGATGATGATGAAGATCCCAAGGCCAGTTTTGTGGCGTAGAGGAGGAGGTAGCAACGGAGCTCTCTGTGCATTCTTCAGCCATATGTATATGTATATGTATATATAATAGTACAGGACTGGACGAGAATAGGAAGAAGAAGAAGAAGAAGAAGAAGAAGAAGAAGAAGAAGAAGAAGAAGAAGAAGAAGAAGAAGAAGAAGAAGAAGGAGAAGATGTAAAGGTGTTTTGTTTAGATATGGAGGGGGTGGTGGTGGAGGATGGAATTTAAGGAGGGGTATATATCCATTGCTGGTGACGTAACTTTGTAGGTTACATCAATTATAAGGGGAGACAATAAAATATGCAACCTCAGTTTTCCCACTACATATATGCTTCATGCCCCAATTATTTCACATCTATACTTACACATATACATAGACATCCACACACACACACACATATATTCATATATAAATATACAGCTCTCTCTCTCTCTCTCCCTCTCTCCTAGCCAGGACTGCCAATCTGATGTAAAATTTGATCGTCTTTATACATTACAGTCTTTCTCTGGGTCTCAGCGTTAATTATGCTAATTTTAATATATGTGGATAAAAGTTTTATATATATATATATATAATCGTGACACTACTCCGTCGTAAGCAAAAGAAAGAAAGGAGATACACTGAGTTTCTAGGTGTAAATCTACGTGGTTTAATTAAACGGAAACTAGGAGCATTTCTTGATAGTGTATCTTAGCTTATTTCCTCAATAGCATGGAAGTGTTTTGATACTGCTGTACTAATTGATTTTAATGAATTTTTAATTTTATATATAATTTTTAGAGAAATAAAAAAAAAAAAACAAGTCCAATTTATATTGTCTAATTTATTTTTATAATTAAATAAATAAAGTATTGCTGATACATTTTATTTTCTCCCAATTTAGAAGAACAAATTAATTAATTTTGAAGATTAAAAAGAGATGCTAATAACTTTAATCTAAACAAATAAAATGACTTTAGCTATTCAATTTTTTATTCTCAATCTCCTTATATTATTTTTTATATATAAAAAAAAAGAAATCTCGAATATTATATCGTAAGAGGGAAAAAATGTGTGTCTGTGTCTGTGTGTGTATATATATATTGAATGATATTCTTGCATTTGATTATTGAACAAGATCTTTAATTATTACTAATTAAAATTAGAATTTTTAAGCTTGTCATTTAACGAGGAATAGGGTAATGCAGGAGCATTAGCTTGGTTAAACAAAATGGATTTTAACTGGCAGGCATGCCGTGACACATTTTAAATTCCTTTCATGTCTTCTACTGCGCCGTGCACGTCTCTCTTCGTACAATATCATTCTGCTGTGTTTGGTTTCTTATAGAATTAAATCTGTCCAAATCAAGTAATATTTTTATGAAATTTATGTAAATATATAGTGGTTATAAGAGTTTATACGTATTCTTTTGACTAAAGTGACGTTGTGATGGAAACCACTATAGTAATTTGTGGTCAATTTCTCCTCCTTAGATATTCAATTAACACATGATATATGTATATCAGACAATATATATATATATATATATATATGTATTTACATATTTAATTACCACTGTTTGAATGTGCAATGACGTTCAAGAAAGAGAATGATTATATGTTATCTAATTTCCTTGTACAATAATTTGTTTTTGAATTCACTTGTTGGGTCGAATTTGTATATAAAAGAAATTATAATATTCGTTTGAAATTATATAATTACCATATACATAATATATATATATATATATATATATATTCCCTTGCATGGTAGGATGTCCACTCAGCAAAAACAAAAACAAAAACAAAAAAAAAAAAAAAGAATGAAAATATGCAGGATGTCAATTTCTGTGGTCAATAAACTTATTCATTCAGTCTGTGGAAAAACAGTTGACTTCCGTCGCTTCAAGCGTGCGCTATAAAATCTAAATACATTCATTCTCTCTCGCCCCTCAAAAATTTCAAACTTACCCTCTGCAGCCAACGTGAATATGTTACATTTGTCAAAAAATGTTACATATAAAATCAAAACTTAATTAAAAAAAATACAAAAATAATTATTTAATAATTTTTAGACAAAAAAATAATTACTTAATTAATTAAATTGATCTTCAAAGTTTATTTTGGGTCATAAACCATGACATTCTTTCTCATCAAATTTTGATTTATATCTCCAACAAACAGTCTTTTCTGAATTGATTTAAAAGAAGAAATTTAATAAAACTTGTTCTTCTATTGTCAAATCCATATATAATTGAAAAGCATTAGATTTTGAAATATAAACTAAAGCTTGGAAGAATATATGTGTGTGTGTGTGTGTGTGTGGGATACTACAAGCCACAGATATAATTGTTAATTTGTTCGGATGATTTAGATTTTAGTTATTAAAGCACGATGAAGGAAACTATATAATCAATTAATTAGTGTGAATTTGGCACCAATTATTATGCATTGCCAAAGGGCCCAGAAGCTTTTCTACAAAATTCAAAAAGCCTACGTCGCTAATTAAATCATGAGTTTAAGCAATAATTAACTCTACTGTTAAATGGAAGTATTAATATATATACATGTGTGTGGGTGATAAAACCTTATCCAATCAAAGAATTTGTTCAACTTTTTAATTCAAAACTTTATTCCAAAATATATTTAGATACTTTTTAAAAGGAATTTTATTAAACAACATATGATTCCATTAAAAAAAAAAAAAAAACAATGCCATATGGTATCTACATTCAGCATAAGCATAGGTTTGAAATCAGACCAGATGGGTTCGTAGATGAGTAAAAACTAAATTATGACAAATTTTCAGATAAAAGATGGGATTGGTCCGGACTAGATAAAAAAGAAATTAATTACTGCATTAAATGTCGGTAACATCACATCGCATGACCTTGACTTTTTCCATATTATATATATATATATATATGTGTGTGTGTGTGTGTGTGAGAAGAAGAAATGAGACGCACGACCGAAATTCAAAAAGAAAAATAATAATAATTATTATTGCATTAAATATGGGTATCATCACATCGTACGCCCGTGATTTCTATATACATATATGTATATACGTAAGGAAAATCAATAGGAATGAGAGAGAGGAGACGCATGCAGAGGAAAGAGAGAAGGAAATCACCATGCAGCGCCGAAACCGATAAGTGAGAGGAGAGAGGAGACGGCAGACACCGACAGAGTCAACCAGTCACGACGGTCGGGGGAAGCAGAGGAGACGCACGGCAGCACCAACCACGAAGGACACAAGCGAGAGAAGAGATGCACCATGGAAGAGTAGGAAATGCACAAGTCTCATTTTAAGTTTTTTTCCACTTTACAGTTTTATATATATAATGATTTTACAATCCAGACAGACTGAAATATATCAGACCGGGATTTGCTCAGCCATACGAAGTGTAAGAAATCAAAAAAGTTGAAGACATGAAATTACAAGATGAGATTTGACCTGCTGTAATTTCATTAATTTTAAATTAAGAGTGTGTGGATTGTTGAACAACGATTATTTGACTTGAAATGTAAAATTACATAATTGGATAATACAAACTCAAGATCTTTCATGAAAATAAACAGATATAAATAATTTGATTGCTAAAACAAATAATATAATTAAATACAAATCGTTAGATCTTAAAAACACTAGATTTAGAGACTGTTACCCGCAAAAAGCTAATAACAACTCCAACTCTTCTTCAAAAAGAAAAAGAAGATAAAGTAGGAATAGAAGAAAAGTGGGGGAAGGTCCATTCTATGTACATGTGTACAACAATACGTATTATTAATCTTATCCTATACAAATATTAATTAGTTCTATTTACTATTAATTTTGAGATTAATTGTTGAATTAATGATCGGTTTTTTCTAAATAATCTATGATACCTGTAGAGATTATTCATACTCTTGAGAAAAATAAAGGTTACCTTTGCATTAAAAAATTGGTCGTACATTACTCTCATTTTTCTTCAAGACACATCAGAAATAATATAATATTTCTCACTTTGGCCTCTAAATAAATGTATTATTATTATTATTATTATTCAATCATATTTCTTTCTTTGTGGGAAATTATTAATTAATCATACTTGGTAAATAATAATATAAAAAGATATGGCTGCCATGGTCTCTCTCTCTCTATATATATATATATATATATGGTTATATAAAATAAGTCAAGGTGAAGGATGGTCCAGTTGGTAGGTGTTATAAAATGGTGACTCTCAACATCAATACATTTCTGCATCAAGTTCCACTTTGAATTTTTATTAATGGCACTTCTTTTGTTTCTTTTCCCCACTTTCATATCATAATTAGCTACTTACTCTACATGGAGAAGTAAGTTTCCTTTTGCTTTCTAATTCTTTTGTTACTTTTATGTCAACCTCACATGTTGCAAAACCATTTACCAAAGTTTTGCTTAATTTTTAATTTAATTTAGTTTTAGCAAACAATATATATACACGTCATTTAATGATATTTATATTCAAATGATAATTAATTTATATAATACAATAATTTGTCATTTTGGTAATTTACATCATGAATAGTTATTTTGGTAATTTACATAATATAGCCAAAAAAAAAATTATACTATTTATATTAACTTTTACTGTAAAGAATGTTATTGAAATATTTTTAAATTGTGCAAATTGATTAACAATAAGTAACAATATAATAAATTATATAAACATATATTCAACTAACGTTAAATTAATTGATTGTAAGATAAATTAATTTTGCTTCATAATTTGCTTTATTACTACATACATATATTAATATTTTTAACGAAAAAAAAGTATGGTATACTTTTATTGATTGATAAACTTGTAAGATATATATTAAATTAATTAATTTTATTTAATAATATGTCTTAACGTGATGAAAATGATATCTAACTTTATATATATAATAATAACTTTATATATATATATATAAAATAATAATACCTTCGGTTGGTATGTTGGCTTTGATTTGTAGGTTGTAATTAAATAGATAATTTTTAAAATATTTTATCAAATATTTTTAATAATAAATTATTTTAATAATATTTATAAAATTCACAACACAAACTACAATTATCTTCAATACCATAAAACATTTGATTACTTATGAGAAAACACACCTAATAATTTTCATTTATTTTTTGT